TTATCACCATATACTCGCCTTCCACTCGTGCAAGGCGCGAAATGGTGTGCCCAATACTATTATACTACCTCCGTTCCTAAATTTTTTTTCAAGTTTGAATGACACGCTTATTAATTAAAAAAGTGGAAATGTATGGTTGTGGTTGTGTAAGAAAAAGGTAAAATAAATGTGAACCACACAAATTGTCAAAAAGGGAAAGTGAGAAGTATTTTTGGGAACGGGGAGTACTATGTGGTATTTTTTTTATGTTAACATGATGTAATACTTGTAAGCGTGGCCAATTCATGAATCATGATGGTGAAGAAGTTGAAGTAGTAATCCAGATGTCACGTGTAAATCCACCTCTCGACACCATCTCATTTGATCCTATCACGACTTTACTTGCATGCTTGGCATGTTTTGCAAGCTATATATGCCGCTCAAGCCAGGGAGTTTAAATTACCATGTTCAAACAGAGTAGCGGTTGTGGGGTCCTTGATCATGGAAAAAGTGAGATATAACATTATGGTTAGAGTGAGCATTACACACAAAAAAAAGCCGGCTCAACAAAGCCTTCGGTCACACGAAGGATAATAGCGATATAGTGTAGTCCTCGGTATTCTCTGGCATAAGAAGCTACTGGGAGAAAACGGCAAAAAACATGAGCCTTCGGTATTCTCAAGCCCTCGGCATCAGAGAAGCCTTCGACTGAACAAAGCCTTCGGTCACACGAAGCCCTCGGTCACACGAAGCCTTCGGCTACACAGGGGTCCTTGTCACATGGAGCCCTCGGCTACACAAGGAGCCTTCGGCTAAACATGCTCAATCATCGAAGATTCCTTTTGGAGACAGCCAACCACCGCATTTAATACCACATCACATCCGCCAACCGCATTCAATGCGGTAAACGTACCACTGCCGGTGCCACACGGCTGATGTGACCCTTCGGCCGTTGGATTACCGACACGTGTACTCTCATCGCATTTATTGCTGCTATAAATAGCAGCCCTTATTCACCTTGTAAACCACGCTGAGTTCATTTAATAAAATCGATTCTCTCTCCTCCTATTTACTCTGACTTCTCTCTAGTTATTCCCGCAATAACCCCTCGGATAAGATACTCCTCGGGTAGATTGTCCATCAAGTTTCTTCTTTTGTTTCCACGCCTTTAGTAATACTCTGTGCTAATTCTGATATAGACTCTTTCTCCCCCCATCCTGCCTATCATCAGACTTGAATTCCCCCATATACCTACGGTCCCTGCCAGAGCTCGATGAACCCCGATATAACCACGAAAAGTCAATCCGTGTGTCATTTAAGGTCTAAAACAATCCACACTTGCATTCAAATGAGTGACGTACGTTGCAGTCAATACGTATTTGTATTCCTAGAGACACGTTTCGTGAAAGATTTTGCCTTTTACTTTAATACATAATCTAAAATTGTCTTTAATGAGTATTTATTTTTGAAAAAAAGGGAACATTAAATATATTATAAGTAGTGGTACCAATTTTTTTGGCCCGGCAAGGGGGCGCAGGCGCTTTGTTATCTACGATACTCTCTCATTCTCTTGGAATAGGAAATGGCAAAGACGTACTCCGTATGTAACTATGAGTACTTCATATATGCATTTATACATTTCGTTAGTAATCTCACTTTTCAATTTAACGGAACAAACAACAGTAAGGGTACGACCGTACTAGGAAGACTAAAAGAGAGGAACAACATTGTGAGAGTAATGTGAGAGGAACAACTTGTTATGCATAGATTGTATTGATACAAATAGAAGGTACTAACTATGATTCACAAATATAAAATTTTTAGATTTTTGCCAAATAATGAACTTGATTTTACCCGATGAGTGCAATAATGATAAAAACAAGTAAGATTAAAGTTATTTTTAATAAGTAAGGTTCAAATTATTTTCATGGTTGCATTGACCGATTTTATTGAAGATAATTTGTACTAACTTGAGGGGTTGGAAATGGTGAAATGTGAAAAAAAATATTTAAAATATATTTTATAAGTAAAATATAGCTAAAATGGTTATATATAATAACTTCAGTCCATTCAAACAGAAGAATAACTTCATCTTTACTTAATTTGATTATTACACAATTTAGCGTGCAGACTTCGTACAAAATTAGGAGCCCATTTGGGAACACTGAAAATCGGTTGATTCTGCCAAAATTTATGAAGTCCTGGTTGAAATTGCTGGATTGGCTGATTCTGCTGGTTTATGAAAAAGTTATATTCAAAATATATTTTATTCATAAAATAAAGAAAAAATAACATGAAAAATACTCCATCCGTCCCACTAGAAGGTTCCCGTTGACGGTTTACGATGCTTGACTGGTGATAAAGCAACGTAATCCCTATTCACATTCTGATTATTTTTAGTAAATAAAATTTACATATTCAGAAATTACATTAAAACCGCTATAAAGCCTGATTAAAAAAATTTAAATTTGATATATAAAGTAAAAGATTAAACTACAGTAACGTCAGTCAATATAGCTAGAAAAGTCACTTCAACCATACATTTTCTTATTATTACAAAATCCAGTGCACGAATTCAAAAGTTATATGTTCGGTGAAAAAATTGGCTGATAAACCTGACAAGCCGAAAAACAGTGTTACCAAGCAGTCTCTTAACTTATGTTTTGTGGAATGAACGGAAAAATTTCTCTCTCATATGTAGTGCTTTTAGGTATTAGATTAGAAGATAAGTTTACTAAAAATTGTTTTTCATATGTAGTGTTTTTACTTACTCCCTCCGTCCCCAAAAATACTTCACACTTTCCTTTTTGTATCGTCCCAAAAAATACTTCTCATTTCTCTTTTTAGAAAATTTTGTGTGTCTTACATTCATTTACCTTTTTCTTACTCAATCACAATCATACATTTCCACTTTATTCCACAGTATTTATACCTCCTTATTTTAAAGTCTATAAGAACTAATTTACTCTTTTATAGGAATATTAATGATACTTTGTACCTTTCACAACCTAAGGTATTACTATTTCCTATTTTGCACAATTGCCCCTTCCCAATACTTTTTGAGACTTGTGATGAGAAAGTAGCTTTCAGTCCTTCACTATGCATAGTATATTAGTATGCAACTACATAAAGGTCCTCTGTGTATTACAGTGAAGGGTTGGGGGCCCTATGTAGTTTGTTTTTTATACGTAATGAATACGTAGTAATTAAATATTCCGGAGGCGTTCAAAATTGACCCGATTAGCGGCTCTGTAACCACGGACTAAACGATGTATTGCAGTTTTATTTATTTATTTATATTAGGCCAAAGGGTTAAATAGTCCCCTGTACCTGTTCAGATTGCCTAATTCGCATCCCGAACTAAAAAAAGCTTTAATTCACCCCCTGAACTCGTCAAAAAAGTTCAAATCCCATTTTTTTGCAGGTGAGTTTTCGGTCATTGCCACGTCAGCCGGTTAGATGCCAACCGTGCATCCCACGTGAAAATCTAAGGGGTCAAATAGACCCCTGAACCCGACAAAGTTGTTCAATTTACCCCCCAACCGTTAAAAAGTGTCCAAATTGTCATTAAAAAATAAAAATAGAAAATATAAATATAAAGGGATAAGGGTCAGATAGGGCCTTGAACTTGAAAAAAATGTCAAATAAGGCCATATTTAGGATGCTCTGTCCGGCCGATGTCATTTGGGGTGGTTCCCGGTGGAATTTTTTGATGAAATTTTTTTAGAATCTTATTCATTAAGTCTAGTTTACTCATATCAAATTTGAACTAAAACTTTAATCGGGAAGACATTCAAATGAATTCTTGAAGATAACTGTGCACTTAAAAGCGCAGTTATCTTCAAGAATTCATTTGAATGCCTTCCCGATTGAATTGTTAGTTCAAATTTGATATGAGTAAACTAGACTTAATGAATAAGATTCTAAAAAAATTTCATCAAAAAATTCCACCGGGAACCGCCCCAAATGGCGTCAGCCGGACATAGCATGCTAAATATGGCCTTATTTGACATTTTTTTCAAGTTCGAGGCCCTATCTGACCCTTATCCCAAATATAAACAATATACAAGTTCATGATATCAAATATATGAGTCTATTTATAATATGACGATAAATTATTTATATTTTAGGGTAAATTTAATATTTTTCAATATTTAGGAGTCTATTTATAATATGGCAAAATATTAAAAAAATTTAATATTAATTTATAAAAAATGTATGGTTGATTTTTTTTAAATGGATTAAAAATATCAAAATATTTTAATGAATTGGTTTTGTTTTATGTGAATTTACCGCAAAAAATAAGGATATATTTATATTTACAGTAAATTCATATAAAATAATTTAAAAGAAATTCATTAAAACTATTTTCATATTTTAAATATGTTTTAGATTTATATGTAAAGTTACACACACGCACACATGCATATATGTATATATACTTCATATTATTTTATTCTAGAATCATATACTGCGTACTATACTTCATACTAATTATATTTAACATAAAAATTTTGTACTTTATAAAAATTATAATATGTAAATAGCTAGGGACTACTACATTTTTATAATATGTATTTAAAAAATAAGTACCTTCATTATGTTTATATATATATATAATTTACCCTTAAATATAAAAGTTGTCTTATTATAAATAGACATCTATGTTCTATATTATGAACTTGTATATCATTTTATTTTATTTTTTCTCTTTTATAATAGAAATTTCATATTTTTAATAGCAATTTGGACACTTTTCAACGGTTGAGGGGTAAATTGAACAACTTTGTCGGATTCAGGGGTCTATTTGACTCCTTAGATTTCCACGTGAGATGCACGGTTGGCATCTAACCGGCTGACATGGCGATGACCGGAAATTTACCTGCAAAAAATGATATTTGAACTTTTTTAGCAAGTTCAGGGGGTGAATTGGAGCTTATTTGAGTTCGGAATGCGAATTGAGCATTCCGAACAGGTAGAGGGGCCTATTTGACCCTTTATATTACTCTCTTATCAGTCATCACTCCTGCCCGGCTATGGCAGAGAGAAACAGGACGGTGGGCGATAACACTATTTATAAACGCACCGAATAGAAATGCAGGCCAGATATCTGACCGCAACCGCCGATCTCCTCTTGCGCTCAGACCGCCTCCGCCGCTATCCCGGCCTCCGCCGTTCCGGAGCTCCGGATTTCCCTCGCCACATGAATACTACCGGACTTACTCACGGAGCGCAGTTACAGCCATTCCGCGGCCCTGTATTCGCCGGCGCGTTCGACGTCTGTGTAGATTACAGCTCGATTTTCCGGGACACCGGCGCAACGGCGTCGACGGTGGCCGGAGCTTACGCGCTGGTCTCTGTTTTCAACGGCTTAACTCAGCGCAATCTCATACACCAGGTTCTCTGTTTCTCTCTAGAGATCTGAAGTTGTGTATAAGTTTAGATCTGCATGTGGTCTGCTTCACATTTTGGGTATAAATTCCAGAATAGCTAAACACGCAAGGCTTTCTGACTTTCCGCATATAGTAAAACGGATAGCAATTGATTCATCCTGACAAGTTTTTACCATTTTTTTTTGGAATTTCACTTATAAGGAAAATCAAAGCCGTATAGCTTTTCTAAGTGAAAGTTATTCTCCAGAACTTTGCTAAATTGAGCAAGTCTTCAATGAGTGAGGAGCACACTGTTTTTTGAGCACTTAGTATGTTTCTATTTGAACTATTTAACCAGACCAGATACGCTTTTTCTATGTGGGTGGAAAGATTTTATCCAAGTCTATTGAGCTCTCACACCTCGACAGAATGCTGGATGAGTAAGTCACAGTGACTCAGTCAGTTCAATGACGGTATACTTTATACCCGTGCGCACCAGAGTTCCATCTCAGCACGGCCGTCGTGGGTTTCGATCCATGGTTATTGTTCCAAATTTCTTACCACTGAACCAACTGAGTTACCCGTGCGGGTAGATCTTATCCAAGTCTAAAACTCTTCTTGAGGCGTCGGTTTCAAAAAATTATACTCCTTATAAAAGGGGTGTTTGGATCTGATTTTTAAAACTGCTTCTACTCCTTCAAAGATGAAGGAGTAGAAACAGAAGTTGAAGTGTTTGGGTGAAAGTGCAGAAGTGATTCTGGTGCTCAAATTTGCTTCTGATTCTGATTTTGCTTCTGCTTTAAAAAAGAAGCATAAGCAGAATCAGTTCCAAACACCCCAAAATACACAAAAATCAGACATCTATCAGATCAATTCAAATTAGGGCTGGGACTTTGGAACCAAGAACCGGAGAACCGAACCGGACCGAACCATTATAACCCGGTTCGGTTCGGTTCCAATATTTATTAGTTATTTGTTAATGGTTCGGTTCCTACTTTTTATTAACGGTTCGGTTCTCGGTTCCTGTAAAAAATATGTACGTGGAACCGTTAAAGAACCGTTATATATAATAATTAAAGTTATATATATTTCTTATTAGTATATATATTTTAATGTATATTTACTTATCTATTTTCATATTACATTCACTATTTTAGTTTAGTTATTTAACTATTTGAAATTATTTTTCATTTAACTGGTTTCATTGGGCTTCTTTACCGAATATCTTGTTTTGTTTTTGTTTTCTAAAATTTGCAGTTTGTTATGTATTTATCTTTTAAACTCAACTTTTGAGGTTTGAAATGAAGTTCAACATATTTGTATTGTAATTTCAAGCGTTGAATGTATTTTTGACACAAATTTAACCGTGATTTGTAAGATTTTTTTTAAATACTAGGAACCGTTAAATGACAAGAACCGAACCGTTAAGAACGGTTCGGTTCCTTATCGATTCTACAAAATAATTTATAAGAACCGAACCGTTAGTAAAATTTCATATTTTCAAACGGTTCCACATATTTCGCCTAGGAACCGAACCGGTCCCAGGCCTAATTCAAATTAGACTAGACCTTAAAATTTCAGCTCAATTAAAAATATCATTAGTTTATTGATTATAATATCATCTACTTAGGGATTATCTTTAATTTAGTGATGATATTATCTTTAATGTACTTATGTCCGATTGGTACGCTGAAGCTTAAAGTCTTTCCCTATACTCTTTAAATATATCATCTATTCTTGTACTATTCAGGGATTATCCTATACTAGTACTCTTTTTTAATAATCCCTCCGTCTCAGTTTACTTTGATTCGAGTGTGGAAAAAGAAAAGAAAAAATGTTGTGATTGCAAATAAAAGCTACTCCGTATAAGACTTTTGGGACAATAAAAAAATAGAAAGTTGAAAAAGTCAATGGAATAGAGAGAGTATTACACAAAGACTTTTCGGTTCGGCCTTAGACCTAAACTCATTCGATACGGTCCATTTTCAAACAGGACAGTACCATGTCATACCAATATCAAACAATGCCATTTTTTCAAGTGTCTAAGGAAAAAAATTAAAGTTTAGTCATCTAAAAAATCCACACAATTTATCAATTTTCGTATTTCATACTATCTCTGTTCCAAATTGATTTGCAAAGTCAACATCTTTGGTCAAATAGTTTATTTTTATTCACTTAATTAGGATTTCACTTTTTAATTACATTCTATTTTGGCCTTTCAAATAAAGTACTTCGTATATTCTAATTTGGATTTTGCAACTTTAAAGAGATTTTAACTTGATTTCTAAATATGTAAATTTTAATTATTAATAATTGTATTAATTATCATTAGGTAGGACTTAACATTAATAATGACAAAAAAATTTTGACTTTGCAAATGAATTTTGGACAGATGAGGTAATTAATAAATTTCAGATAAACTATAGTAGTACAAATTTAAATAATTAAAGTATTAAACCATACTTCGATCCATTTCGGTCCGGTACCGGTTCTCATTTTATAAGAAACCGTCATGGCATTGTTTGGAACCGGTACGGTCCGGTTCGGGGCAAAAAAATTTGAGATTCGTTTCAAACCCCGTTTATCGGTCCCGGTCCGATTTGGTACCATGCTGATTCGGTATTTTTGCCCACCTCACATTTGATTGCCGGGAAGTGGGAGGTTGACTGCATTTTCCCCACAAATTATCAAAAATATCTTCCAAAAATTTCACCAAAAAAAGTAAATCAGAGATTCAGAAAAGGTTGCTTAAGATTGACTCAACCCGTCGCAACGATATGTGTGACCTGAGACGAATAGTAATTATACTAAGTTTAATAGTCACTTTCTTTCGTTAAGATTGACTCACCTTTCCTTTTCGATCAGTCCAACTAAGATTGTTTTATATCATATTTAAAAAATTTGAGTGGTTCTAAATTATTCTTACTTTATTCTTACTTTATCAATTGAATATGAAACACGTAAATCTATTTTTATTGATATGCGTGCAACTCTTTATAGTACCATTGTTAGTGGGATAGATGTAGTAACATACTAGTAGGTGACTAAATAAGTTTTTTTCCTTCAATATTACCAAATTAAAGCTGATTTTAAAAAATGTGACCATTTTTATAAAATGACAAAAATGTGACTAAGGTCACATATTTGGAAAAACATAATGTCATTGTATTTTTTAGGTCACTGCCAGATTTTTATATCACTGTTATATGTCACTATCAGATTTTTATGTCACTTTTGAATGTCACTATCAGATTTCATGTCACTTTAGGTATCACTATCAACGTGAAACATGTCACTATGTTGTCGGAAAATTTTCGGGTGACTTTTTTCGGCATCCCCGTAACCCGATCAGAGTAACCCCGACCACCACAAGTCACCATAGCCATCCACCAGCCACCACCAGCCCCTCCATGTCCCAACGAACCTATTCTCCGACCAACTCCGCCCCCTCCAGCCACGCAGTCGTTGTTGGACACCAACTCCGACCACCCTAACCTGCCCAGATCCACCCCTCTAGCCCCACCGGCCACAGCCCCACTGGCCACAGCCCCCGGCGACCATCGGCCCACGCTCCAGCACCCCAAACCCATTGACTACCACTCCAAATTGTTTCGACTAAATATGTAAAATGAAAAAATTACACTAAAAAAAGTAAATTAACTTATGCTTTAGCGCTATAGTCCTCCCCGGCCTCGAAACGACATAGGGAGTATTTGGGTATGCTTCTTAAAACTGATTCTGCTCATTCGTGAAACAGTAACAGTTATTTGAGTGTTTGGGTGAAAGTGCAGAAATACTTTGATGATTCCAAAATATTTCTAGAAGCAGGTAAGAGAGACCTGTAAAAACTTGCTTTTCAAAAATTATTCTAGTTGTACTTAAAAAAAAATCAAAAACAAAATTCATTCTAAACACCCCTATATAAATCTTTCATATGAACTTTGTTTAATGCACTATTGTATTAATGCATTAAGTTTTCTTTAATGCCGTCATTGTTTTACTGGAATTATTGGCGCTACTTCCGTCACCAACTGTATCAATGCATTTAAGTATTCCACAAAGTATCCCTTCCTCCTTATCTCCATCTTAATTGAGACTCGATTTAGATGTTTGCCTAATGATGAAGCCAACTATTCTCTCAAAATTTTAACCTGTTTGATAAGATTGAAATGGATAAGATATATTGAATCTGATGAACTTTTAAAAAATTATATTTAAAATATATTTTATTGATAACATTAAGAAGAAAATATAAACAATAGCTAAAATGATTTTCTATATTAACTTCACCTAATTTAGCAAAAGTAATTTCAACACTTGTTATTTTAATTATTACACAATATATGTAAAAATTGTTAGATAAGCTGTAATCGGGGTTATCAAACCAACTCGACAAAATGACCAATAACTACAGCTCAATATCCACTCTTTCCAGCTCAATGCCTCATTTTATGACATCTCATGGTTACTTATTTTCCTATTAGCCTAAATATTTTTTTTTTGAAAATTTTACCCTTTGTATCCCATTAATTGACAACAAGAATAATGTCTCAAAACTTTTTTTTTTATCGTAATGTCTCAAAACTTTAAGTTGACACTGAGGACATAACCAATAATTAAGGATTCACGCTGCATGATCGTTGTATTCGGTCTTTTTAATAAATTTAATGGCATATTATACTTATATGTTATAGTCCGTATAATTTAACAAAAACGACCATACGTACATTTATCGTGGTATATTTAACGATGGAAACAAACATATCAAAATCACACACGGAGTATCTAGTTTCTGAGAAATCATCTCATCAGGCCGGCCTGACGGGCTGCCCCGTCCGGCCGAGCCCGTTTGGGCACCTTCCCGGTGGAATTTTTTGATGAAATTTTTTGAGCATGTTCCTCATCAAGTCTAGTTTGTCCATACCAAATTTCAGCTCAAAATTCGATCGGGAAGGTCGTCAAATGATTTTTGCAAGTTAACTGGTCCAGAATATGTATTTTCCGGACCAGTTAACTTGCAAAAATCATTTGACAACCTTCCCGATCTAATTTTGAGCTGAATTTTGGTATGGACAAACTAGACTTGATGAGGAACATGCTCAAAAAATTTCATCAAAAAATTCCACCGGGAAGGTGCCCAAACGGGCTCGGCCGGACGGGGCAGCCCGTCAGGCCGGCCTGATGAGAAGAGCTCTCTCTAGTTTCTTATTATATTGTTATCTTATACGGAGTACTTATCTCTATCTTATGTGATTTATCTTACTTTTTTTATTCTTCTTCCTTCTCTTTTGGCTCTGATATCATGGATCGATTTATGTTAGGCGATTCCAAAATCTTTTAGTATTAAGGCTTGGATGTTGTTATTGTGATCTTATGATTAAAGTCCAATTTACATTTTCTCAGAATCTGAGCCGGAGCCCAGAGTAAAACTTGTTATTTGTGAGCTTGTGATTAAACTCTAATTTAGATCATTTAATTATTTGTCCGGCCGGTGCAAGAAGACCTTCAAAGATGGGGTGTCATTTTTTCCCTTAGAATTTTCAGACTGTTCGATGACACCCTGGCTTTGCCCCTGCCTTTGGCTCTCAGGCTCTAGGCCTGGTTTTACAACCCCATCAATAATATTTATATTAAAAAATAATTTAGAATTTTCAAAACTTTAATATAAGAATATAATTTAAATTGTATGTATATTTGTCATTTTATCTTAGGAAAATAATTAAAATATTACAAACTCTTTGAACTCTTTTTTGAGACTAAGAATGGAAATTGTTATTGTATTCTAAACTCTGCGATTGGAACTCAACATCTTGAATTTACATATTGGATAATAGTACTTATATTATTTATTATTTGTACATGTACAATATTTAAGTGTAGTACTTATCATCACTCGTAGCATAACCGTATATACTAGTATTCATAGTTATCCCGTCATATTATACGGGATAATGATACTTATCCCGGATATGATATTTATTTGGAGTCGCCTAATATGATACTTACTAGAATTTACATACGTAGTAAGATATTTTATTTGGATAATGATACTTCGTATATGATACTCTCTCTGTCCCAAAATTAACTTCTCACTTTCCTTTTCGGACAATCCTGAAATTAACTTCACACTTCATAACTTTTCTTATTTGGCAAATAATCTACATAAAAAAGTGCCAAACAGTGCCAAACAGTGTCCAAACAGTGTCAAACAGTGTTTAAGCAGTACAAAACAGTGCACTTCACAGTAAAGTCAAATTTATTTTCTTAATATGTGTGAAGTCAAACTGAGAAGTTAATATTGGGACGGAGGTAATACTCCGTAATACTTTATATGGAGATAGTCGATCCAGGAATAGTATAGTACGACCGTACAACTGTACATCTAAAAAGTAAAAATTATCAATGATCACCTTATATTATATAATCATCAAAATTATTTCTCGAAATGTACTCAAATTGCCATATTTAATTACTACCTCCGTTTCTATTTGTTTGACGTAGTTTGACTTCTCAAAAATTAAGGAAAATATTTACTGAAGGGTAAATTTTATTGTTTGTTTGGACATTGTTTGGACACAGTTTGACACTGTTTTGTTTACCAAATGGGAAATGTGACATAATTTTTGAAACGTCCAAAAATGGAAAGTGTGTCAAACAAATGGAAACGGAGGGAGTAATATCTAAATAACCATGTCATTTTGCAATTGAAACCTTTGAAAGGGACGAAGATAGTATAATGATAATGATGATACAAAATATTTAATGTGCAAATATTAATGACTATTTTAGTTTACGTGTATATCATAATAGTATATAGTTTGAATGTTTTGTTATTTTTTATGGCAATAATGACATTAGTCTGGTTGAGATCCCACGGCTATATGTTTGCTGATCGTCCTGTCTCCACCAAACAGATGAGATTAAGACAAGCACATCCTAATGCAAATTTAATCAACCAAATAGAATAGTTGGAAGTGTGAAGAAAATAAAAAAATTGATTCTTTTATGTTATGTGGGTTAATGTTTTTCAGCCCATCCTTCTTTTGTTTTGAAACAGAACTTAAGCCGAAAGCTGGTCCATATACTATCTGGTCTGCTATTCATGGCTTCCTGGCCTCTATTCAGGTAGCTAGAAATTATCAAATGTAAAAAGTAATGAATGCTACCTCTCTTAAATACTTAAACTGATGATTTAGAGCTAAGTTTAGCGACTCAACAGGAGCACGCTACTTTGCTTCCGTAGTCCCCCTCTTGAATTGTTTTAGGCTGCTTGTCCATGGCCTTCATTTCTCTCAAGATGAAGTGCTCATCAAGTCTGTCACCCGAAACGGAAAGCGAGAGTAAGCTTGAAATTATGTTCTGGCCTTGTACAATCATTTCATGGCAATGCTTGTGACGATTTCTCTTTTGGCCCATTCTCCTTGCAGAGAATTGCTACGAGGCCCGTTGTTCTATGTGCTGATACTGATCATATGTGCTCTTGTCTTCTGGCGTGATTCGCCTGTTGGAGTAGTTGCAGTAGCAATGATGTGCGGTGGAGATGGTTAGCTCTATATTTTGTTATGAATACTGAATAGTCTTCCAAAGTTTTCCGCTTCAGCTAAATATAAATTAGCAAATAAGCTATTCAGATCGGTCTGATTGGTCCGAACCAGAATATTCAAGGTTTGGGCAGACAAGAGTTGGACCCGAATATTGAAAACCCTGGGACAAAAGACGGGACATATTGCAGTCCGATTGGGACTGCAATATGTGTTTCCCTGCCTGTAATTACAATTCGGACCACCATTTTTTATTTATAACTATGTCTGTTGTAGGTACTGCTGATATAATTGGGAGAAGATTTGGTTCTGCAAAATTTCCATACAATCAACAGAAGAGTTGGGCAGGCAGTATCGCCATGTTCGTTTTCGGGTTCTTGATATCCATGGGGTATGATGTCAAGCTAAACTATTGATCCATTAAGCCATTTGCGTGCTTGTTTGAACATGTATGAAAAGATTTTTCTTGATGTGTTGTATGGTTTGAAGGATGCTAGGTTACTTCTCAGCCCTTGGATACTTTGACTTGGATTGGATGCCTACAATGGAAAGAGTAGCACTTGTTTCTTTGGTGGCAACGGTGGTGGAATCTATACCAACCAATGGAATGGTTGACGATAACATATCAGTTCCTTTAGCAAGCATGCTGATTGCCTCTTTATGCTTTGGTTTCTATTAGAATGTGTGATTTGGAGTAGTGTGTTCCTTCACGATTTGTTTTTCAACCAAACATGTTTTCTGGTTTCCATTTTGTAAAGCTCGGGTATAGTGTTGTTGTTGTTGTTGTTGGTTACTGAGTGAGAACACTTGTCCAAACATGCTAGCTTAGGGACTCCCAAAACCACCTAGTTTATGACTTCATATGTGGCTATGCCTTCAGTTTAAATCTATCCGGCTTCCATTTTATGTGCGGCATTTGTTCGAGTGGGTGTACTCTTCCTTCAAAAGAAGAATTATTGTTTGTATGCGATTGTATTTGTGGAAAAGTGATTGTCTTTTGTGGAAAGCAATGAACGTTGCTACTCTTACACCATATGTAGTTTGAGATTCGAATGCGTATAAGACTATGTAGTAGTTTGGGATTCGAATGCGTATAAGACTATTTGAGTTCAAAAAATACACATAAAAATAATAAATTTGATTTGAATTGTTATGAATTACAAATAAGAATGTGACCTTATTAGTTAAACTTATTGGATTAATAATTAGTTATTAATAGCAGAATAATATGTAGTATATGATGCATAGGGACTTACTTAGTATTAATAATAGTCATAGTAATAATAATAGTAATAACACTATAATACGAGTAGCTTTTAAAAACTAATTACACTCAAAATGTAGGCCACTTATATTTACTTATATACATTCCAAACTTATTTGTAGTAAATAAAAAGCACATAGAGAGTAAAGGATGTTAACGAAACAAATAATTTTAATTCAATTTATGATTTGGATTTAGAAGATATATTTGAATTCTAAAATATGTATAGAATATGAATATAAATACAAATCAGATTTTTGATTCAGACATCTTTTATGAATACAAATAATTTTATATCGAATTCAAAGAACAATCAAATATAGTTGTTTAAAAATTAAGCCCGGCCATACTTGGTTAGTTCTTTTGGAAGGTACAGAATATTTAAATTTAGTTTAATTTTATGAGGTAAAAAGTATTCTCCCGGTCCCATTTTGTAAGATATTTTTCCTATTTTTGATCAATACAAATTACTCTTAATCTCTTACTCTATACTTCGTATATTAATATTTTATCAAATTTGATTCTGATTTTTGCAATTCTATAAAGTTTTTAATGTAATTTTTTGAATATGTAATTCTTTTTTCTTAAATTAAGAGTTCCTCTTGCTTTATCTCGGTCAAACATAAACCGTCCTCCTAAAGTGTGTTACAGTTCAAAACCGAGGGAGAACAAATCAAGCCCGGCCGTTCGTCTTCATCATTCTTCTCACTGATGCCCCAATTGACAGGTAAGATGATTCGTCGATAGCGCTACATTCAATTGGCCTGATTTCCCACACCGGTCCATCTCTCGGTTTGACTTCTCCGAATCCGGCAAACATCGGGTGATCACAAAACATCCTAATGTGAGTCTGGGCGCAGGCAGCGACAGCCTCCGTAAGCGGCGGCAATTTCCGGGAGCAAGTCTCCAGCTTGAAACCAAATTCATAAAGCGACCTCACGTCAGCAGATTGGGTAGGGGCCGGCGGCGGCGCAATTCCTCCTCTGATTATCTCTACCGTTATTTGATTCGCGACCATCCCGCCGCCGTCACACGACGGTTCGCAATCAGCCAACGTCCCCGACCCTTCAAAGAACCCGGCGACAACTCCGGCCACGTGCTTGACCTGAACAAACCAAGCCATTGAGTCTTTCATGCTGAAGTAGCTGTTGTACTTGCTCAGATCATCGTCGGCGGCGGTGGCCGGAAAGTCAAAGTCATCGTAGCGCTCGGCAAATGCTTCGTTCAGTTTCCGGTCGGCCTCGCAGGGGTACTGCAGCCCAGGGGAGATCAAGCTCCACTTCTCAAACTCAGTCCTTTCTTCCACCACCGGAAAACTGTGGTGGCCGAAAAGAACGGATTCGCCGGCACCTTCCCTCACCGGGAAATGGTCACCCTTTCCCGGGTACCGCGGTTCTTGACCGTTGATTTCCCCATTCAAGTGCTCCAGAAGGGCAAAGATTCCCGGGATGTTCGGGAGAAAGTGACATTCCAAGGAATCTTTCAAGAACTGGCTTCTTCTCTCCGGGCCGGGATTTACAGGGAGGCGTGGGTAGACTTTCCCGTAGTTGGAAAGCTCGGGCTGTGAAGAACAGAGTGTTTTGAAGAGGAGAAGGAGAGGGCCGGCGACGGGTAAAGTCTCCGGCGGGTTGTTGGAAAGGAAATGGATTAAGAATTGGTGTTGCTCGCAGGAAAGGGCAGAAACATGGAAACCAGCGCGTAAGGACTGGATCCAGAAGAGAATGCCAAAGTATAAACGCAGAATGTAGGGGTGATAGGAAGGGGAGGCCCTTCTGAAAGAGAGGTTGTCAACCAATTTGAAGTTCATGTGATGGAGGATGAAGTCCATCATGTGACAGGAGGGGTGGTAAGAAGAAAGGTTAAACCTTGGCTGGTAGATAATTTTACAGTTCCGAAAAGCATCCAACATTTTACTGATATGCTCAAGTTCTCATTAATGGCAGCTATAATTTATACACCTAATCGATTCCGAACTGCCTCTTCGTCTTCTGTGTCTTGATCATCAATCTTGAAGTTCATCGTCATTCAAAGCATTACATAAAGACTTGGTGAATGATCACCTATTGATATGATGATCATAATGAGAAAATTCCCTAGTTCACTAATTTTAAACATGTACCCTTCTTTCAAATAAAAAACACCCTTAAAACGGAAAATAAGATTGATCCACATTTTTTTTGGACAATTCTTTCTAACATATATAGTATCTGTTCAATGTTGATGCCAACATCCTTGAATTGAGATGAGATTCGAACCTGTGACCTCATCCTTCGGAGTGACACAGTGATGCCATCTGACAACAAGGTACTTAGCAGATTGATCCACATTTTACAAAACAAGAGTAAAATGTAAATTTATCATACTTTATAAAAATTAGAAACATGAAATTTATCAATTGAATGAATGCCGCATTAAATGCTTAGGAAATCAATTGGTCCATTTTTTTGGCAAACTCAATTGGTCCATTTGTGCACTGACTTTTATATTATTTTTGTTGAATTACTTCGTATATTTTAGACTTAATCACTACATTTTTGTCATCGATTTGTGCAACGATGTTGATGTAGTAATGAGGTTTGCTAATTGAATATGTGTATAATTTGATTTGTTTTTATTATATACAAGACCCATTTTTTTATTCAATTTTTTGTAACAGATATTGCATTATAGACACATAAGTATTTACATGTTTTTAAAAAAGACAACGTTTTTTACAAGATATTCTTAAGTGTTTTAGTTCATTTTTTATTACAACGTGTACCCGTTGAACCTCATTTAATTTGTGTACCATATTTAACTAACTAGGCGTAATTCACCCCTAAAAGTATAAAACAAAGATAAAAATGCAAAAGTAGGACTTGTTTAAAGACATGAACTATGAAGTACAAAAACTCTTTGTGGCTCACTTTACAAAAAAAACATTGTTCTTTTATTTTTAATAATTACGTGTTTCCCCACATTTCATATCCTATATATTTTAGAAATTACATTCCCGCATTTCCTGTTTCACTTTTCTGTGCTATTTAAGACATGAGTTGCCAACATTACATCAATGAAAAGGCTGATTTCTTTATCAATATTCATATTACAAAATAAAATAATAAGACAAATTCTATAGAGATCAAGTATGCAGACATATGGTGGCGCTAAATCTAGTGCGTGGCTACCGCTGTCTCTGATGCCACCATTCGTCTCATCTGCCACGCCGCCATCTAATAAATCATCATCTAGTACCCTCATGTCTTCCATGGCCTTCACGTATATCCTCCCTTGGCGCCGCATCATTTGAAATCACTGTCGACGGCCGCTGCATCTTAAACCGATGTCACCAGTTGCCTCATTGGGTGTGATTGTCGCCGACCGCCCTTTCAGATGTCGTCGTCTCCTCCCTCACTTGGGCATCCGTCGTCTCATATATCGCAACATCGTGTCTTCCACCATGACCACCACCTCATATGGCGAGATTGGGATAGATCCCTGTCTCAGAAAGACAATTACAGGAATTGTCATCTTATCAATGGAATGCTATCTTAATTGCATCCTTTCAAACAGACACACACAATATGAGTGACAATATCATCTCTACAACAATAATATTGACTTACTAATGTCATATTGTAATGCATTGTTTATTCCGCACCGAAAAACTATGAAACAACAAAACACAATGTAAAATATTGGATTACGTACTCCTCTTACCAGGTTGACCTTCTAGGATAAAACTTCGAGTCTTAACATGATGTCAGAGACAGATCCGGTTTATGGTTTGATTGTTATTTATTAGCACTCATGATTTTGGGTAACTTGTAAGGGTCTTTTTAGCTCATTTATAGACACTGATATTGTCTGGTCTAGTTTGAACTGAGAGTTAGGGCATGTTAAAGTATTTGTCCCACACCAGATTGTTTAAAATAATAAATTAGTCATCACCGTTTAAGATCTTGAATTACTCCTTCTATACAGTTGACCTTTGATAATGAAACCTTGAATCTTAACATGTTGCCAAAATGTTATCTTCAGAATGAAAAATATAACATTATAATTGGTTTATTTTGGAAAGACTAATATTGCCATCATCTTGAAATGACATTGTTTTTCAAATTGGCATTTTTAGATTGAAAAGTGTGAGTAAAATTTATGTCAAATTTTTAGCAAATAAATCAAAATTAATAAAACAATAAGATCCAAAATATTAAAATAATCAATTAGCATTGGAGTCTCACACTTTTCAATCCAAAAAATTCATGTATAAAACAACAATTGAGACTTCGAATCTCAAAATTAAACAAATATTCCCCCGTCCCATTGAATTCTTCCAACTTTCCTTTTTGGGTCGTCCCAAAAAATTCTTCCAACTTTCACTTTTGCAAAAAATATGTGGTTCACATTCATTCACCTTTTTCATACACAACTACAACCATACATCTCCACTTTATTCCAACTTTCTAAATTTGCGAGCCAAGTTTGATTTGGAAGAATTTATTAGGACGGATGTAGTAAATCATTAGAAAATACTCCTTCCGTCCCAATTTACTTAGGCAAACATGATTTTCCAAGTCAATGGTACCTAACTTTGACCGCTTATATATTTATATATAGATATATATAAAATATTAATAATATGAAAATGTTCTTTGTTGAAAAGACTATCATAAAAGTATAAAATTATTATTTTTTGCATAAATATATTAGCTCAAATAATTGCTCAAAGTTTACCACCTTTGACCGGAAAAGTCAAGATTGGCTAACTAAAATGGGACGGAGGGAGTAGCAAATAAGAGCATCCACATTGA